CAAACAACAATAGATGAGTTTTTTAATCAGCCGCAATAATATTTATATATGAACTAAATAAAAATTTTAACTGGTCATGTGCAACCAATAAAATGTTGACCCTCTATTCATGCATCCCTCTATTCAAGCACACTCTGATGCATTCCCGAGGGTGTGCTTGAATAGAGGGTTCACTGTAGTTGATTGTGACGAATAGGCTATGAAATGTATTACTGCAACACGACATACTAATAGTAGAAATATAAGCTATGAACAATATCATATGCTGATTGTATTGGTGTTCAATTCCTTAGGCGGGGCAAGTTTGAGTTGCCCTTTTTTTGTCTTGCAGTGTTTTTTCCTGTTCTCGATTGCTTTCTATCGTAGATAGGGATCGGTGATGTTGATTTTCTGAAATAAGTGGGGTTGAGTTATCTGCTTTATTAGGTCATTTTCGTTTTCGTGATTGATTAGGAGTAGGAGTGATATTGTGAGATATTCGATAAGGGATTCGTACATGGGATGGTTGTTGAAGTTTTTGTGAAGTAGAAAGTCGAAACTATGAAGTTCAACACAAAGTTTGTTACAATTGACACTTTTGAGCCGAGTTTTGCCTTGGTAGTTCTTTCATGCAGGTTTTTTTTCGGCACTGTGATGGATTCTTATGTCAAATTCTGCAAATCATATTGTGGGTCCAGTACCGGAGACATATTGACTGGTTTGTACTGTAAAAGTAGTGATATTTGAGATTCTTCCTCCGATCTACCTTGTGGCTGCTTCTAAATCTGCTAGTAATAGTATTCATGTCTTCATATAATAATATGCCTGGTAAAACATAAAATATATTTCAACAAAGCGAGGAGATAAACATTAATCTCTTGATACAATTCACCGTTCTGTTCATTAAATTATGATGGTCGAGCTATTGAAAAAGTTGATCGAAAAAAAGTAATAACCAAAACTCAAGTTGGGATTCCTTTGTTTGGACAAGTTTCACATTCTACCAAATTATAAACGGGTATATACGTTCCTTTTTGTGAATTCTACTTATTGCCTCTATGCCAACTTCTATCACAAAATTATGTTTTCAAACCACTATTTACCTTGGCCTCGTTTCTTCTCTAATGAACGGAATCGGGTATCGGTCTGCACTACGCAATTCTTTACGTAATGGGGAGAGGAATCTAAATTTACATTGATGTTCACGGATAAGATACTCCTCGTTGAATTGTGTTGGTGCTTCTTTCTTCAAGTGATGTTGATGGTTAACGAAGATATACAAAAGTATTCGTTCCGGAGTTAACTGCCGCTTATCATATATAGTCCAGCAACAAAGACATTGATGTAATATGAATTTTGCATTCAATTGTTTTATGTCATCCTGAGCTATCAATCAATTACCCACGCAAATTAGATATGGTTGATTTTCTGATGGGATTTATTGACTCAAATAAGCAATTTAGTGTAGCGCTTTTGACCTTTTTTGTGTAACAATCCTCACACTCAGTTGTCTCGGTCCATATAGACAAAAGAATTTTACATTCGGTTGTTGTATTTTATTTCGTCAATAAAGCTAATTCGAACATAGCTAGAATAATCGAATCATAGTGTAAACACAGTCAAAAAAGGTATAGTTTGATTGGATAATGGGAAAGTTGGAGGTACTCGTTCGCTGAAAATACAAAAACAATTGTTAATTGCTTTTTGGAAAAGATCGGCCCATTATTCTTGCAGTAGTAACAAACTGCGTAAGTATAATAAAAAAGAAAATTGAAGACATGTCAGGTTAAATGGTGAAATGTAATGCAAGATCTGCTGCTATCGAGGAAGTACAGTTTGAATATTTGGATACGATAATACAAGTTTATACAGGTTAATCATGGGAATGAAATATAATAATAAGATTGTTTTATTTTCATCACGAGCTAATTAAAATATAGTACTTATTTATGTAGATCAATCATGACACATTAACTTCATACGCGAAAAGTATGCGAAGCTAACAGAAATAAAAGTAATCGTTTTGGGAAAGGATCAGCTCTTCTCCTTGACATTATTACACGTATTTGCGTCAAGGTTTAACAGAAATGGGATGACTTTATTTATTACATTTTTTGCGTAATAGATGACGCTCTACGATTAGTTGGCATCTACTAAGATTCGAATAACTCATACGCCTATCAACGTTCACAATACTCGCATTAATATTTTACTTAGCTTATTGTACGTTATTGTGACTGAAAAAGGTACTAGTACAATTTAGTCTAATGCATAGAAATGACGATCACAGATTGAGCATAGACATATTTTTCTTGGTTTAAATTGCTATTATTTGTTATTTGACAGATTTAGTCTATCATATGTGCTTTATTATGACATTATTTATTATGTGCCTTAAGAAAGAATAACTCGTTTACGTTTCATCGTCATTATGACAAAGATGACGATCTTTATGTTGGGTGGGAAAAAAATATGCTGGGAGACTGTTAGACTATAAAAAATAGCTCCCTCAGAGTTCATAAAGGTATATAGATAAGATCCCCGCGAAGAGTATTGGTCACACAACGATAATCAAATAAAATTTTGCCAAGTCGCATTAGTTCAAATGTAATTTATTCTACGAAACTCCAACTAAATTCATAAAGTTTGAAAGCTAACAAATTCTAGTTTTTTTATCCTAAGATAATTTCTTTATTTTTGACTTCGACTTCCAGTGAAAAACTCGAGAGTTAAGTGATTTTGAGCGTGGCATGGTGGTTGTTGGTCTTCACAAGGGAAATCACTCTGCCACAGACATCGAAAAAATACTTAAAATACCTAGAACGGCTTGTATTGACATAATAAATAAGTTTGAAAGAGATCAGACTGTATCTAATGCTCCTTGCTCTGGCAGACCACCTCTTTTAAAGGTCATTGATAAGCGTCATTTCATTCGTACTATAACAGAAAAATTCAATAGTCTCGAAGACTGCGAGACGTGTTTTACGTGAACAAGGGTATTCCAGCCGCATTGGTAGAAGAAAACTCGCTAATTTCAGAAAAAAATAGGAAAAAGCGGCTATAGTGGTGTAAAGAACGAAGACAGTGGAGTGAAGAATAGAATAACGTTATTTGGAGCGATGAATCCCGCTTTCTTTTGTATGAAAAATGATGGCAGACATCGTGTATGGCGTGAACCACACGAACAGTATGATGTAGACTGCATGTTTCCTACCGTAAAAAGTGGTAACAAAGGCATTATGGTTTAGGGTTGTCTTACGAAAAAGAGACTGGCCCTTTAGTAATTGTTGATGAATCAATTACAGCAAACACATATAAAATGCTGTTGGAAGAGCGTTTGTTAAGCTTTGTACAAAGTCTAGACGATGATATTGCATACACTTTTCAAGACGATAATGCACCTCCATAAAATTGTTGAAAAATACATTTACGCTAAAAAAACTAGTCAAGACTGAAAAAGGGAAACCTTTGCTAATCGAAGAATAGCCCAAGAGCAAAAACAAACTAAAAGACCTGTACATAGGGCGAAGTCTGTAGTCGAATGGAAAGAGGAAAATTTGATAGCCTCTCTTCCATGGCCTGCACAAATGAGCATTTACTGAGCCAACGGGTACAGCATCCAAAAAATTTGCGGGAATTGAGTGATGTACTAAAGGCGGAGTGGTTAAAAATCCCATCAGCGATTTAGAGAAATTGGTAAATAGAGAGTCAATGCTGTAATTAAAATAAAGGAAATTCCACAGAATAGTGATCTAAAATTCAAAGAGTTCAGAACTAGACGAGTTTATTGATATAAAGTTTGTTATGCATTGTTAATACTGTCGTCGTCGCATAAAAATTCTAAGGATAATTTTATGTGATGATCGTCATGTGACCAATACTTTTGGCCAGTATGTGTAATTACCGTACGTACCGTAAATGTGTATTTGACACGACACGGTTAATGCGAAAAATTAATTAGGAATCGAACGACTCGAATGGCGAATAAGTATCAAGAAAAAGTCAAAAGAAGTTAGTAGCATGTCCAGGTGATGGCGATGAAAATGTAACTTATGTAATGAATGAATGGCTGATCTCAGATGCAAAAATGCAAGGAGAGTTCGAAGTATTTTACAAATGAAGTAATTATGAAGATGATCTTGGATTAAGGCCACGGCCGCCGGACCGTCTCACTCGCACATGACGAGATCGAGTTTGCTTAGCAAAAATAGTTCCAATGGAGATAGCAGTGACCTATCTTCTTCTTCGATTTATCATTTCAATGCTAGTTTTCAAACTGAAGAGAAGTTACTACACAGAAATGGCAACAAGAGGCAGAAGAGGGCAACAGTAAATCGAAACGGCTAAAAGATGATGCAACGCGTGGAGATTCAGATGAGCGGGATAACAAAAACTATTCTGTATTCGGTTCGGAAGCTTCCGAGACAGCTACGATCGGGGAGACGTGTACAGCCTGTTAGACAATCCGCTACGCAATCAAAGCATGCATTCTACAAAAACCACAAAATCTACAAAATTCAGTCTGCTTTTCTGACCAAACGTACCTATCCTCTACTCTAATAAAGTTCCGCTACAGTCGTTTACATTCTCGAATAAACTAAATATCTCCCATGGCCTGTTGTTGTACGTGCTACACCCAAGAACCAAGAAACCGAATTTTTCAGATTGGGACAATTTGAGGCAGCCAAGCAGAGTTATTCAATGGCAATCGAGTCACTACCATCAAATCGTTTATATATAGTCACAGCATATAACGCATCACGATTAAAGAATGAGGACCATGGAGGGTAACGCAATATTTATCCGCCTCTACCTGGAATAGATATATATAAGTCTCAAAGACCAAGATTCAAAAGCTTATACGAATCAATGGAAATACCCAAGGCTCGTTGATGATGACGAAAAACTACTTAAATCTGATACAACCAACAATAAAACAATAAATGATGGCCTCCGAAAGCTATTTAAATGTTCTCAGGCGATATAGACAATGTTGTGAAGCCCCACCGTCATCCACTAACTCAATATCGTGTCCTCGGTCGCCCAATTTTCTCAAGCTGCCTTGACAGATCTTTTCTGCGCCTGTGAATACTAATAATACTTACTTAATGCCTTTGGCTTCGTAGAGACATTTAGTATAATAATCTCTTCGTCTAGTAATATTTTAGTAGGCGATTCGAATCCGGCTTTGACATTGGTAACAGCAAGAACATGAGGGTGCCGAGAAATTCCGTGACGTGTAAAGGACATCGTGGATAACAAGTTGACAATGTGGAACTAGGAAAGAGGATAATTAAGAGCATTGCTTGGAGGCGTTGTAATCTAAGAAGATTGGCTTGCAAGAATTGGTTGCGCCCGCACAGTTAAGGCTATTGCTAAAGTTCACCCGGACAAGGTAATTAATTGTTTATAAATAACATAGTTCACTACTCGATAATTTATTAATTGCTTGTCGATTGATATTTTGTAGTTGAATTCATCAACAACTGTTGAGCAGAGACTCATCGCCAATGGCGTGTGTTTGTTATTACATTGAATGACACTTTTAAACAACAAAATAATTTTTGATGGTGTATCGCACCAGGACCAAACTCACCAACGCAACGTTAACTGTAATAGAGAGGATATTTATGCGTCACATGAGAAACCAACTTGTTGGCGGTCTCGTATCAATCTATTTATTTTCCGTATAAAAATAAATCTAATAAGAGAGGGCTAACATACAAGACGAAATAATCAGAATTTTAGGAGTAACGTCATTACATATAACAAACAACTCTGAGTCGTCTGTAATCGCACTGCCCCCTCATTGTGGTCTGTTGAACAGAGTTTAGTAATAGTAACCGCAACTCGTCTAGATCTATTGACAATATTGATGTACATTGGGAACTCCTCGACCCATGCGTATTATTTTTTTTTTTTTTGCAATGGACACTACTATATATACTGAAACTTAATTCACATGAGGTTTGATTGTTGTCAACAGTAGTTCATAATGGCGGCAGAGTGTGTTCTTGACAACAAAAAATCGGCGTCTTTTAAAAATAACTGTGCCGGCAAAAATCGCAGTTTTCTTTTTTAAAAGAACACTCTCGAAATGGTCCTTAGTTTCGTGGTGGTTAATGATTGAACGAGAATCTCAAACTACAGAATCCAGTTCAAGTAGAGGTATAGCCAGAAACTAAAGGCTATAATCTGATATCACAAGACATCCTCGAGGATGCAGAGAGGAAGGACTTGCACAACTTGTAGGCAGGACATAAACCAATCTATCTAGAGACGTAGGAATTACAATGCACACACCAAGCTATAGAAAGTATGTATGGGAAAGTAGAGTATACAATCATTGATACAGCTATCTCGATTCAGCGACTGATAGCGACTGATGCAACAACTGGTCAATCGCCAAATAACCGACCGCGTAGCTCTAAATCTCAACGACCGCATTTCAAGAGTCAAGAAACTTAGTACCCATAAACAAAAGTTACCGGCTTCAACAACTACTCATAAAATCTACCTATATTGCTGCTCTACGATCTAGCTGACGTCTCGTTATTGTTCAACATTCTCCCTCAAGTCTCTTTTGTTGAATAATCTCCATCATGGCATAAATATGAATAATCCCATCCTTGACAGCCAACTTTCCGTTCGAGTATTCTTTGCGTATTCTCTTCAAAACCAGTGGGGAATCTAATAGAAACTCATTTTCTAAAACTCTACACCGCTCTTCTCGGACGTCATCGTCTTCTGATCTGACATCTGGGTCAATATGCCACAAACCGTTCTCCAGGAAACTTTTACGACTGTCCTGTTTTATCTCGCCTGTTCCAAACAGCTTTCTGAATAACGTACTAATTACGAAATGCCAAGGTTTTCCTTCATCATACTCTGAGGGGAGCACTTGAGACAGGTACCACGTAACTATTAGTACCCTGGTATACCTATTGCCTAACGGTTCCAAGCTTGCCTCGTTGACAATGCTGAGAGCGCGGTAAATGCAAAAGGAGGCCACGTCAAGTTTTTTGATGCTTGTAGTGAAATTGACTTGTCGCCATGTTAATAATTACGGCCGCTTGTTAATAATAACGCATGACATGACTAGAGAAGTACGGGTCTTGTTGAATATTACCGCAAAAAGAAATGCCAGGGCTATCTGCAAGTGTCCCCAGATCAAGAAAAGAAGACAGAGAACGGGCAGTGAGGTTCTAGAAAAGAATTCCATTTTAAAGATTACGCTTGCCACAAAGAATGCGGAATTGATGCCCGTGTAGAATGTAAAAATGGATATAGTGCGTCATGTATTAAGCGCAGTTTTCATACGCATCATAACCAAACTTTGTTCTCCTTTTTTTTGACTGTGATTCAAATGCTGGCAGCAGGAAAGAAACACCATACGGATAGAGAACGCACCTAAAAATATGCCTGCCCCAATATTCCCCATAGATATGGCATGACACGAAACCCGGCTCCGTCAGGGGGGAATTGGGGGAAATTTGAGGTTGTTATAACTGCACTCACATTAATAACGCGGTACTCAATTGTGAATGTTGGATCGTTCTCCGCAAACCGTGGCCGGGAAATGAATACTCTGGGCAATGCGATCATCACGGCCAATTTTCATGATATAACTCCACCCCAAGACACGCTTGTAACGGCTTGAGCGAGGCTAACGGCCAATTGCGGTTGATTATTTACTAGTGCAGCGTCAACGAGAGGTAGTATGTTTAACTTTCGCCACGCGAGTGTGGATCCGCCAGTTCGTCCATCTTGCTATCATTGACCTTTGCATAGAATGGTACTGTAGGAGAGCTTCGGCTTCATGTAAGATGGTTTCACGGTCTCAGACATCATATTAGTCTTCTTCAGAGATATATTTGTCATTCACAGTTTTGGCAGGCAAAATACCTACTAAATATGGTAGGGGAAATACTGATCCTGGAAAAGAAGTTAAGCGTTACACACGCATCGATTATTAGTGATGAGAATGCTTTGTAATTGAAACTTCTTATTCGAACGATGTCCTTAGTTCTAGGGGTTAATAATCCAGCGATTGACAACTTGGTTCAATCCTCCTTGGAAAGTGAAGATGAATACTTACGACTTGAAT